TATATATATATATATATATATATATATATATATATATATAATCTTAACATTTGCAAAATTTAATTTTAGCGTTATAGCACGGAATGGATAATACATCTTTATGTAGTGCAAATTTTACTGCCTGCTTTGCATAACGATATTGTTTTCGATGTGCCACCTATCGAATATAGATATGATGCCGTTTATTCTTCTTTAATTTACAAAAAAGGTGAGAATATGTAAATGTTATATAGTCGGGATGTATGTTTGTTTATGTATATGAAATCAAGGTACTGAAAAAGTTATATTAAATAAATATGATTCAACAATCGTTCGCCATTTACCAAATACAAATAATACAAGATACGCTTTATATATTTGTTTTATATAAAAAAATATTTATATATTAATATAATTTATAGAATTTAATGATATTGATTCAATAGAAAAAGACAATATTCTTGAAAATGTTTAGACTAACTTTCATTCATTATGTCGGCCATAACTACCAAATAAGTATGCGTATACTTTGAAAATCTCTTCTCTTCAAATTTATATTTTCTGTTATACATTTCATGATCCGTAATACTGTACCGCAGCATTCACTATAATGTACATGTTGGAAAATATTATTAAGAAGGATGTATTCCAAAAAGCCGTTGCCGAGTATATACGAATGTAGTAAGTAACGCATTATAACACGATATAATAATATTCGAAGAGCGATGTAGATTTGCAATATTTAACAGTTGTATTATAGTTGTACAGTTATACAAAGATATGATGTTCCATCCTGTAATAACGATTCTATGACGATTTTATTACAATTCTAAAACTCGTTATATTATAAATTTTCTGAATTTTTAAACATAAATAGTTTTCAATAAGTAGATTAAATGACAAAACTGACGAAGTAGAATATAATTCAATTTTAAGTTATCAAACTTTGACTTATGAAAAATCTTAATCACACAGTGCATATGGCGACGCTACACCAACCGATTTCTTCAGTGTTATAAATACAGTAATATTACAATTAACGGGCGAACTCCAACATAACACAGAGGACCTAATGGCCGGCTGGATATCGTCCAAAAAGTACCCTACATTGCTGCTTAAACGATATTATAATAATAGAACGATGATACTTTCGTATGATGACACGAGAGACGACCAAATTCAACATAAAGACTGGGTGATTCCTATAAATTACATTACGCAGGAACTTAATTATGCCAGTCATATATTGTGGTCAGGTAATAATTCGTCGCGGTACTATAATTCTATATTATTTCCTATGATCGATAACAATGACTGGATCATATTAAACAAGAAAGAATACGGTGAGTGCAAAAGCCGATCGCCCGATTTTATTACCTAAACGCGCGGGCTGTTAGATAATTAAATATTCTATCATTAAGTTATTCAGTAATTAGTGGAACTGTCTTTTATTTCCGTGACAGGCTACTACCGCGTGAATTATGATAATGACAATTGGCTGAAAATCGCGAATTACCTAAATAACAACGATTACTCGAAGATATATACCGTGGCTCGTGCTCGGATCATCGATGATGCATATCATTTTGTTATTGAGGAAAGAATTAATGCGACGACTTACTTCGCCTTGATTACATATTTAAAAAGAGAAACTAATGTTATAGTGTGGCATGCAATGATGAATACCCTGACATACATGTCGCCTTTCTTCAAGTTCCGTGAAAGTAAAAATTTTACGGTGCGTAGTGACAGTTTTATTATTATTTAATCTATTATAACTACGAATTAACAATACTTTTAGGACCTGATGTTGTCTACCATGAATAGTGTTCTGATGACCATCGAGGACATACAAAATAGTGAATACAATATGCAGAAAGCTTTGCGATTATTACTGCTCAATTGGGCCTGCAAACATGGCGATCAGAATTGCAGACACACAGCCAACATGCAGCTAACGGCACAACTTATCAATCCAAAGAAACATGAGTAATTATTGAAATAATCGAATTTCTTTATTTAATTATTAATATCCTTCTTAAATATGATTCGTGCGCTATTTTGCTTCGCAAAAATATTTGTGATTGAGGCAAAACACGAGGATGAATATTCGTGGCAATTGCTCACTTTTATTTTGTGCTTAACGTAGGAATTGCTGGATGGATTGGTTGTTTTGCGCGGGTCTGATGAACACGAGCAAAGACACTTGGGAGAAAATAAAGCAGAATGTCGCGAATGGAGACGATGTAGAAAATATAAAATATCTGACTTGCAATGAAAACGATGACATGATCATAGAGCTTTTGAAGTCGATTATCTTCGAGCCTGACAATAACTGGCCACAACTGTCAAATATACAGCTGAAAAAATTATACGATGCCATTATAAAGAAGCATTCAAGCAAGACAAAAGTACTGAATTTTCTCTTGGAAAATTTCGATTCTATATTTCCCAGGTAAAAATTTTCGCGTTTTTTTATCTTCAAAACATGCAACGTTCATCATTGTTTGTCTACTTACGATCCTGTTGCTTCGATGTTGCAGTTACATGACTAAAATCGAGAAAATAAGTAATATTATACTGAGTCAATATTCCAAGTGCCACATTGGGAAGGTAAATTTCACGATATCGAAGTATATTTTGTAATTTTTTTCAATTACTTCCGTATATCCCGCGTATAACTCATTTTGAATTTACTAAACCAGAGATTGAGCAACAATAATATTGTTTAATAGCGAACTGAGTTATTATTGTTGTTTATTGTTGGCATATGGTAATAATTTGTTTTAGATATCGAATTACGTATCAAGTAATCCTAAGTGGAACGAGGAACATATTAAAACAATTGCAAGAATTTTATTAATACAAATGGCTCGAATAAAGGAACAATATACATTTGTGCACATTTTTACGCAAAATGTAGATACAGAGAGATGTTGATCAAGCGGACCTAACAACTGTATGCGTGTTCTCATTCATACAAATAAATTTTATATTTGATTTTGAAATTTGACACACTCAATTTATTATTCCTTAGATAAGCTAAATATATTGCTTTTGTTTACGTTTAACTTATGATTATTTTCGAGCAAAGTGACAAATCACAATTTCATCGATAACCAACAATAAATATGATAACGGTCACGTATACTCAAAAGTGGTCTCGTCGCAGTCATAGAGAAAATTATCTAGAGATGCGAGAAATTAATTAAAATGGATAAATGACTGGCAAATAATGCGATGTAGCACTCCTTCTTTTCTTTTCCTTTTTTCCAAAATTTTGTTTGTATCCTAAGGGACATTTGAGAAAAGAGACATTTGAGATAAATAATTTTATGACGAATATACGTCGTCATGTTTGCTGAGATTTATCATGACTAATTGGATAATCGGCAAAGCGGTCACAACTTTAACGGACTAGATGTCGATATTCGTCCATGTGTGTATCGATACGCGATGCGCGCCTCTGAGTATTTATAAGACTCAATTCGCTCACACACGGACCACTCTATGTTCGTAATGATACCGAGTCCTCTGATGCCATTGCTGATCTGAGATGGTAAGAGAAAGCTCACACAAATATATTGTAACGTCATCGATTAATAGAATTTTAAATCAATTAAATTTTCAATTGTGTATGTGTATATAAATTTTATCCGTTCTTTACGCAAAAAATCCGCTCTCACAGGTGACGACAATGAGAATTGGTGTAGTGCTTCTCACTATATTGTTCAATGCCGGTCTGATATGCACATATTCAATTCAGGATATTACCCGCATGCCTTCATTAAATAATGATTTCGATACATTCGATGATCTTTTACCGAACACTGTATCGCCCCTCAGCTACGACATAATCCTGAAACCGAACAATGACTACTTTTATGGGGTAGTTAGTATACGCATCGAAGTAATTGAAACGACCTCAAACATTACTTTTCACTTGCAAAACCTAGAAATAAACTATGAAAGTGTCAAACTTGAAGGACTTTCAGACAATACAAAGTACGAACTAAAGGGAGAGATCAGATATGACGATATGAGTATTACGTCCCTAATATTTAATACCAAGTTGTTTCCTGGATCTTACATATTAAGTATGGAGTATACAGGTAACATAGAGGAAAACTTGGGCTTCGTCAAAATCAAACACAATAAATGGGATACCGGAAATACGATGTGAGTAACAAATAAAATACAAAAATAGAATCTTTGCGATACTTTTCTGTTGACTGAGTCATGTATACTGAAAGATCCGCATGTCATCTATGATTTCTGACTTTGTCTCCGGCAAATACGCGAAAATCCTACCTTCTAATAATTTTCTGATTACTACTCATATGTAATTTTATATTTTATGTGACGTGAAAGTATCGTGACGGCTGTTTAGATAAAGTAAACAAATTTTTTACGCATAGAAAGTGCGGGCTAAGTTTCACACTGTTATTCCTTAAATTTCATCGCGTGGAATCTCATTTGTTGAGATATTTTGTCTGACAAAAGATAATATTGCTAACGAAAATGTCCGAAGTTTGCTGGTATCTGACGTATGAGGAAAACATTGATCTGTTAGATAACTATATGCCTCACAACGATTCTATTATTATTAAAGTTTTGCTCTTGAAATACAATTAGATCGTACATAACGATGCTTGAACCGAACGGAGCTCGACGCGTGTTTCCATGTTGGGACGAGCCAAAGTTCAAGGCAATCTTCAAAATCTCTGTCGACCATATGCCTGGATATTATGTCTTCTCTAATATGAAGGAACATACGTCTACGCAACTTAAACAACGAATACGCACGAATTTTGAATCTACATACTATATGCCTACTTATCTCGTCACAATCGGTATTCTTCATTCTGTATACGGAAAGATAATGACAGATGACACCATATGGTTTAGCAAACAATTGACCCAAGAATCTAGCAATCGCCTGCGACAAATCGTTAAATGGACTGATCAATATTTAATGAACTATACGAATAACTTCTGCACAAAATTAACAACCAATGTCATCGCATTTCCCGAATTACCTAAGAAGATTATAGGAGGTTGGCAATGTACAGTTTTCAGGTAAGGCGCATAATCAAATAATTACGCGAGGGCTTGAAAAAGAATTCTCTCAGTACTTCGGAATACGATAATACGCACACGTTTCGGTTACACGGAAATGCAAAGTCGTTTATAATCAAAATCATTTTCTATGTACGTAGAATTGCTTAATTGCAGTATGGACAGTTATTCTGAATTATTTCAGCATCAGTCAATCAAGCAAAAAGCACGGAAGAAATATCCATAATCATTTAAACAAATAACCATTTTAATTACGAACACGATTTTCAGAGACAGTGACATCGTACACAAGCCAATATGGGATTTTTTCAGTCCTACAAGAGATACATGGAGAAAAGTAACACATGGATTAGTACAAAATTGTATCGAAAGTATCGTCACTCCATCCAAGTGGTCTCATTTATGGCTTAACAAGGCACTTGAATTCCAAATCAATTACAATATTCTTAAAGAGGTAGTTAATTGTCTTGCATATCCATTTCTTTTTTAACAACAACGAGATACGTATCGCTAGATTTTTCTATATTATATATATATGTTATCTTAACATTTGCAAAATTTAATTTTAGCGTTATAACACGGAATGGATGATACATCTTTATGTAGTGCAAATTTTACTGCCTGCTTTGCATTACGATATTGTTTCCAATGTGCCACCTATCGAATATGGATATGATGCCGTTTATTCTTCTTTAATTTACAAAAAAGGTGAGAACGTGTAAATGTTATATAGTGAGAACGTATATTCGTTTATGTTTATGAAATCAAAATACTGAAAAAGTTATATTAAATAAATATGATTCAACAATCGTCCGCCATTTAACAATTGCAAATAACACAAGATACGCTTTATATATTTGTTTTATATAAAAAAATATGTATATATTAATATAATTTATAAATTTTAATTATATTGATTCAATAAAGAAAGACAATACCCTTGAAAATGTTTAAACTAACTTTCATTTATTATGTCGGCCATAACTATCAAATAAGTATGCGTATACTTTGAAAATCTCTTTTCTTTAAATTTATATTTTCTGTTACATTTTTCATGATCCGTAATACTATACGGCAGCATTCACTATAATGCACATGTTGGAAAAAATCATTAAAGAGGATATATTCCAGCAAGCCGTTGTCGAGTATATAAACACGTAGTAAGTAACGCATTATAACATGATATAGTAATATAAGAAGAACGATGCAGATTTGCAATATTTAACAGTTGTATTATAGTTGTACAGTTATACAAAGATATGATGTTCCATCCTGTAATAACGATTCTATGACGAATTACAATTCTAAAACTCGTTATATTATAAATTTTCTGAATTTTTAAACATGAATAATTTTCAATAAGTAGATTAAATGACAAAATTGACGAAGTAGAATGTAATTCAATTTTAAGTTATCAAACTTTGACTTATGAAAAATCTTAATCACACAGTGCATATGGCAGCGCTACACCAACCAATTTCTTCAGTGCTATAAATACAGTAATATTACGATTAACGGGCAAACTCCTATATCACACAGAGGACCTAATGGCCGGCTGGGTGTCGTCCAAAAAGTATCCTACATTGCTGCTTAAACGATATTATAATAATAGAACGATGATACTTTCGTATGATGACACGAGAGACAACCAAATTAAACATAAAGACTGGGTGATTCCTGTAACTTACATTACGCAGAAATATAAATATAATCATGACAAACCTGTATTGTGGTCAGGTAATATTTCATCGCGGTACTATAACTCTATAACATTTCCTGTGATCGATAACAATGACTGGATCATATTGAACGAGAAAGAATACGGTGAGTGCAAAAAACCGGTCGTCCGATTTTATTACCTGAACGCGAGCGGATGTTAGATAATTAACCAAATATTCTATCATTATGTTATTCAATAATCAGTGGAACTATCTTTTACTTCCGCGACAGGCTACTATCGCGTGAATTATGATAATGACAATTGGCTGAAAATCGCGAATTACCTAAATAACAACGATTACTCGAAGATATATACCGTGGCTCGTGCTCGGATCATCGATGATGCATATCATTTTGTTATTGAGGAAAGAATTAATGCGACGACTTACTTCGCCTTGATTACATATTTAAAAAGAGAAACTAATGTTATAGTGTGGCATGCAATGATGAATACCCTGACATACATGTCGCCTTTCTTCAAGTTCCGTGAAAGTAAAAATTTTACGGTGCGTAGTGACAGTTTTATTATTATTTAATCAATTATAACTACGAATTAACGATACTTTTAGGACCTGATGTTGTCTGCCATGAATAGTGTTCTGATGACCATCGAGGACAAAGAAGATAGTGAACACAGTATGCAAAAAGCTATGCGATTATTACTGCTCAATTGGGCCTGCAAACACGGCGATCAGAATTGCAGACAGACAGCCAACATGCAGCTAACGGCACAACTTAACAATCCAAAGAAATATGAGTAATTATTGAAATAATCGAATTTCTTTATTTAATTATTAATATCCTTCTTAAATATGATTCGTGCGCTATTTTGCTTCGCAAAAATATTTGTGATTGAGGCAAAACACGAGGATGAATATTCGTGGCAATTGCTCACTTTTATTTTGTGCTTAACGTAGGAATTGCTGGATGGATTGGTTGTTTTGCGCGGGTCTGATGAACACGCGCAACGACACTTGGGAGAAAATAAAGCAAAATGTCACGGATGGAGACGGTGTAGAAAATATAAAATATCTGACTTGCAATGAAAACGATGACATGATCATAGAGCTTTTGAAGTCGATTATCTTCGAGCCTGGTAATAAATGGCCACAACTGTCAAATATACAGCTGAAAAAATTATACGACGCCATTATAAAGAAGCATTCAAGCAAGACAAAAGTACTGAATTTTCTCTTGGAAAATTTCGATTCTATATTTCCCAGGTAAAAATTTTCGCGTTTTTTTATCTTCAAAACATGCAACGTTCATCATTGTTTGTCTACTTACGATGATCCTGTTGCTTCGATGTTGCAGTTACATGACTAAAATCGAGAAAATAAGTAATATTATACTGAGCCAATATTCCAAGTGTCAAATTGCGAAGGTAAATTTCACGATATCGAAATATATTTTGTCATTTTTTCAATTACTTCCGTGTATCCCGCGTACAACTCATTTTGAATTTATTAAACCAGAGATTGAGCAACAATATTTTTTAATAGCGAACTGAGTTATTATTGTTGTTTATTGTTGGCACATGGTAATAATTTGTTTTAGATATCGAATTACGTAACAAGTAATCCCAAGTGGAACGAGGAACGAATTACAGTTACAAGTATTTTATCAATACAATTGGCTCGAATAGAGAAACAATATACATTCGTGCACATTTTTACGCAAAATGTAGATACAGAGAGATGTTGATCAAACAATTGTATGCGTGTTCTCATTCACACAAATAAATTTTATTATTGATTTTGAAATTTGTGACACATTCAATTTATTATTCCTTAGATAAGCTAAATATATTGCTTTCGTTTACGCTTAACTTATGGTTATTTTCGAGCAAAGTGACAAACGACAATTCTGTCGATAACCAACAATACTTATGTAAACGGTCGTGTATACTACTCAAAGGTGGGCTTGTCGCAGTCATAGAGAAAATTATCTAGAGATGCGAGAAATTAATTAAAATGGATAAATGACTGGCAAATAATGCGATGCCGCACATATTTTATATTTAATCATTACAGATGACAGAATAATCAGGACAGAATTTCTACATGAACGACTTGTGACGTTTAGCAAGATTAGCTTTGCGTGCCGCGTTCATCCAGATTAAGTTCAATCGTATTTCTTATAAAAGTGATTGCGATAGACAAAAATAGCTAGCGACAAGAGACAAACAAATGTGTAATCCCCACCTCCTCCTAAGTTTGCTAGCAAATATTGCTAAAATATTTATAAACAGTAATCACGAAGAGGATACTACGATTGATACTAGTGTAGATACGGAAAATTGCTCGCAGAGGATCAATTATTATGTTTTCCGATTTATACGTATCCCGTGCATTACAACATCAAGCTGGCATTGCACGACAACACTTTCGTCGGGGAGTCGAGCATTATCATCGACATACTACAAGTTACGGAAATAGGTTTGCACACCGAAAAGTTGCAAATAGAATTTGATACAATATTGCTGTCTAAGCATAAGCAAAAGAAGCAGGAAGGGCAATAAAGGGGCAGGAAACCTCAGACATTTATCTATTGCACAAAAATGCAGATTTTGATTTTCGAATTCGGGAGGAGTATCAATATTGACACACATGAACTAAGTATGAAATTCAACGACTCTCTACTTGGCCCAAAAGATCTCGTCGCGATCAATCGCATAATTGACAAAGGAGAGACAAGGTGAGCCGTTATCTATTAATCTGCGTTGTTTACTGCCCGCGACGTATATCGGAGGTTCCATACAGAATACGCATCTTTAAACTTTTTCGATATAACACCGTTCGAACAAATAGTCATTGCGCGATCTGTCACATTATCCCGCAAGTTTTTAAATAAATACGTAAATAGATTAAATGAAAAAAATATCTAACAAATATAAACTATTTAATCGATGTAAGTGTTAGCAATATATATTTACTTGTATATATATTACTTCCGGAAGAAAAAAATCGTTCAGATAACGAAATGTATATTTTTCTAAAATTGTAGCTTTTCAGAAAAAAAATTTTATCTGTCCTACTTAAGCAAAATAATTTAGACTTAAGTAAACATGTTATTAATAACCATTGAATAAATATTTTTCTATATTTTAGATGTTTTTTTCTCTCAAAATTAAACTTTTATGTATAATTCCACATTTCGCGCAATAAGAAGGAATAGATTTAGTGGCAAACAGTTGATCGAGATTGACTTTTCTTATTTTTCTTTCTTTCTTTTGTATATAAAGACAAATTCCGCAAATACAAAAGATATCAAGTAAAAAGTTTTGCTACATTGAACAACACATGCCAATTTGATATCTTCACTATCAAGAGATAATTGGGAAAGTTATATTGCCGAAATTCGCATGAACTTTGCGTAATTACAGAAGCGACATTTAATTCATTAATAGTAATATGTCACCACATGGTAAAATATCGCGATTAACTAAAATCGTGTCTTCGAAATATGCCAGATAATCGCTGTTCGACCGGTGCTCGACGTGTATTTCCATGTTAGGATGATTAGTCACGGGGATCGACATCTCCATTGCACATTCAAATACCTTCCGACCTTAGTCAAATATGCCGATATTGAAGAAATCGTTTGTGACGTATAATAGAGTACAGGCGCACTTTGAAATTTCCCCTTACATGCTTATCTGTTACCTGGCGTTCGTAATTACTGACGTTGAAGTCATCTACACACACTGTGAATGCTGCAAAAATAAATAGAATTTAAGCTAAATTTGTCTTTATTTTTTTTATTTAAAGAATCTTTAATTAACTGGATTAGACAGATACAATTGTATCTGATTCGTCTTCATCTTGGCTTTATAATTCTAATGAATTAACTATTCCACAGAAACGTCATTTTCAATAGCAGTGTAAAATTACGATTTTAACTTTGACTTTTTATTTACTGCTATCAGTTTTCTTCCTCCTATCAGTTCCCTTCCTGCTATCAATTGACTCGTAATCCTCTTAGATTGTTTATTTCCATTTGTTAGTCTTCAGTCGCCGATATTACCATATTTTAAGTTATATCTCTATTTTTATTAATTCTTTAATTAATTAATTAATTAATCAATTTTGATTGTTCATTTAGTCTGGTCGAGAAAGTTCAGAGTAAATTCTAACCTACAATGCCCAGACGACAATCGACAAAACCGGTACTCACATAATTAACACCTATGTTCTGCCACACATAAAAACATGCGGGCATGCACGTGAATTTGCAGGAGCGACATAGCGGGCGATCTTTTCCGCGGCAATTTTTTTGTTCGCTCTCGATACACTCGTCTTCCTTCTTTTCCTTTCCTTTTTTTCAAAATTTTGTTTGTATCCTAAGGGACATTTGAGAAATGAGACATTTGAGATAAATAATTTTATGACGAATATACGTCGTCATGTTTGCTGAGATTTATCATGACTAATTGGATAATCGGCAAAGCGGTCACAACTTTAACGGACTAGATGTCGATATTCGTCCATGTGTGTATCGATACGCGATGCGCGCCTCTGAGTATTTATAAGACTCAATTCGCTCACACACGGACCACTCTATGTTCGTAATGATACCGAGTCCTCTGATGCCATTGCTGATCTGAGGTGGTAAGAGAAAGCTCACACGAATATATTGTAACGTCATCGATTAATAGAATTTTAAATCAATTAAATTTTCAATTGTGTATGTTTATATAAATTTTATCCGTTCTTTACGCAAAAAATCCGCTCTCACAGGTGACGACAATGAGAATTGGTGTAGTGCTCCTCACTATATTGTTCAATGCCGGTCTGATATGCACAGATTCAAGTAAGGATGATAGCCGTATGCCTTCACTAACTAACGAACTCGATATACTCGATGATCATTTATCGAACATTATATTACCTACAAACTACGACATAAATCTGAAAATTACTGACAATGATATCTTTCATGGGACTGTTAGTATACGCATCGAAATAAGTGAACCGCGTACAACTGTATCTTTTCACACGCAAAACCTAGTAATAGACTATGAAAATATCATACTTAGAAAAGTCATTGACAATACACAATACCAATTAAAGGGACATATTAGACATCCGTCCACACGTGTAACGTCTCTGATATTTCATACGTTGTTTGAAGGAAATTATATATTAACTATGCAGTATACAGGCAACATAGAAGAAAACCTGGGCTTTGTAAAAATCAAACATAATAAATGGGATACCGGAAATACGATGTAAGTAACAAATAAAATACAAAAACAGAGTCGTTTAATTTCTAGGCGATACTTTTCTATGCCGACTGAGTCATGTATACAGAAAGATCCGCATGTAATCTATGATTTCTGACTTTGTCACCGGCAAATGAGCCATGCAAATATGCGAAAATCCTGCCTTCTAATAATTTTCTGATTACTACTTGTATATAATTTCATATTTTATGCGACGTGGAAGTATCGTGACGGCGGTTTAGATAAACAAATTTCTTACGCATAGAAAGTGCGGACTAAGTTTCACTGTTATTCCTTAAATTTCATCGCATGGAATCTCATTTGTTGAGATATTTCGTCAGACAAAAGATAATGTTGCTAATGTTGTCCGAAGTTTACTGGTACCTGACGTATCAGGAAAACATTGATCAGTTAGATAACTATATGTCTCACAACGATTCTATTATTATTAAAGTTTTGCTCTTGAAATACAATTAGATCGTACATAACGGTGCTTGAACCGAACGGAGCTCGACGCGTGTTTCCATGTTGGGACGAACCAAAGTTCAAGACAACCTTCGACATCGCTGTCGAACATAAGCCTGGATATTATGTCTTCTCTAATACGAAGCAACAAATGTCTGTTCAACTTGAAAACCGAGTACTGACGAGATTTCAAACTACATACTACATGCCTGCTTATCTCGTCACAATCGGTATTCTTCATTCTGTGTACGGATACACAACAGATGACAAAATATGGTTTAGCAAACAATTGACCCAAGAATCTAGCAATCGCCTACGACAAATCGTTATACAGACTGATGAATATTTAATGAACTATACGGATAACTTCTGGAGGAATTTAACAACTAATGTCATCGCATTTCCGGAACTACCTAGTAAAATTATAGGAGGTTGGCAATGTGCAGTTTTCAGGTAAGACGCATAATCGAATAATTACGCGACAACTCGAAAAAGAATTCTCTCAGTATTTAGGAATACGATAATACGCGCACGTTTTAGTTACATGGGAATGCAAAGTCGTTTATAATCGAAATTATCTTCTATGTACGTAGAATTGCTTACTTACAGTATGGTCAGTTATTCCGAATTATTTCAGTATTAACTAATCAAGAAAAAAGCACGGAAAAAATATCGACATAACCATTCTAATTATGAACACGATTTTCAGAGACAGTGACATCGTAGACAAGCCAATATGGGATTTTTTCAGTCCTACAAGGGATATGTGGAGAATAGTAACATACGGATTAGTACGAAATTGTATCGAAAGTGTTGTCACTCCATCTAAGTTTTCTCATTTATGGTTTAGCAAGGCACTTGAATTCCAAATCAGTTACAATATCCTTAAAAAGGTAATTCATTTTCTTGCATATCCATTTTCTTTCTAAGAACGGCGAGATATGTATCGCTACGTTTTAACATCTTTCTATATATATATATATATATATATATATATATATATAATCTTAACATTTGCAAATTTTAATTTTAGCATTATAACACGGAATGGATCACACATCTTTATGTAGTGCAAGTTTTACTGCCTGCTTTGCATAACGACATTGTTTTCAATGTGCCACCTATTGAACATAAATATGATCTCATTTACTCTTCTTTAATTTATAGAAAAGGTGAGAACGTGTAAATATTATATAGTCGGAACATATATACGTTGTTTGAAATCAAGATATTGATTATTGAAACGTTATATTAAATAAATATAATTCAATAATTACTCGTTTTTTACCAAATGCAAATAACACAAGATACGCTTTAGAACGCTTTAAAACAAGATATACTTGTTTTACATAAAAAAAATATTTGGTAAAAATGCAGTTTAGGACAAATTCGATGTTTTTGTATATAGGATGCCCAAAAATTACATTAATATGTAATTTTAATAAATATTATATTTTATAAATATTATTTTTTATAAATATTACATTAATATTACTTTTTTTGTTAATAACTTTTTAATAAACAACGAGCGACGGCTAAAATTTTCTGAAGGTTACTTAGGAGGGTGACCTCTATAACATATGTCAAGGTCATTGCAGCTAACTCCCTTAAACTGCATTTTTACCAAATATTTATATATTAATATAATTTATGAAATTTAATTATATTGATTTAATGGAGAAAGACAATACCCTTGAAAATTTTTAGCCTAATTTTAATTTATTATGTCGAACTACGAAATTAGTACACGTACACTCTTCAAAAATCTCTTTTCTTTAAATTTATATTTTCTGTTATACTTTTCATGATCTGCAATACTGTACCGCAGCATTCGCTATAATTTTTATGTTGGAGAAAATCGTTAAAGAGGATGCATTCCAGCAAGCCGTTGCCGAGTATATAAACAAATAGTAAGTAACGCATTATAACACGATATAATAATATACGAAGAACAATGTAGATTTGCAATATTTAACAGTTATATTGTAGTTATAAAAAGATATGCTCTATTCTGTAATCGGGACTCTATAACGAATTACAATATTCTAGAACTCGTTATATTATAAATTTTCTAAATTTTTTAAACATGAGTAATTTTCAATAAGTAGATTAAATAATAAAATTTACTTAGTAGAATATACTTCAATTTTAAGTTATCAAGCTTTGACTTATAAAAAATCTTTTTAATCATACAGTGCATACATCTACGCCACGCCAACCAATTTCTTCGATATTCTGAATACAGTAATATTACGATTAACAAACAAACACCCAAATAACATAACGGACTTAATGACCGGCTGGTTGTCGTACAAAGGGTACCCTACATTGCTAGTTAAACGATATTATAATAATAGGACGATAATACTTTCATATGATAACATGAAAAACAACCTAAATAAACATAAAGACTGGGTGATTCCTGTGACTTACATTACGCAGGAAATTGATAGTGATTATAACACTCTTGTATTGTGGTCAGGTAATAAATCGTCGCAGTACTATGATTCTATAACATTTCCTGTGATTGATAACAATGATTGGATTTTATTAAACGAATACGGTGAGTGCAGAAGCCGGTTGTCAGATTTCATTACAGGAACGCGCGCGGACTGTTAGATAATTAACTAAATATTCTATCATTAAGTTATTCAATAATCAGTTGAATTATCTTTTATTTCCGCGACAGGCTACTATCGTGTGAATTATGATAATGATAATTGGCTGAAAATCGCAAATTACCTAAATCACAACTTGTATTGGAAAATAAGTCCTGTGACTCGTGCTCGGATCATCGATGATGCGTATCACTTTGTTATTGAGAAAAGAATGAAGGCGACGACTTATTTCGCCTTGATTACATATTTAAAAAGAGAGACTCATTTTATAGTGTGGCATGCAGTGATGAATACCCTGACTTATATGTCGCCTTTCTTTAAATTCCGTGAAAGTAATAATTTTACGGTGCGTAGTGACAGAGTTTTATTATCATTTAATCTATTATTACTATGAATTAACGATAATTGTAGGACTTGATGTTGTTTAACATGAATAACGTTCTGATGAACATCGACTGCACAAAAGATGATGAAGAGAGCATGCTGAAATTTCTGCGATTATTACTCCTCAAATGGACCTGTAAACACGGTGATCAGATGTGCAGGCAGATAGCCAACTTTAAACTAATCGTACAACTTGACGAACCAAAGAAACATGAGTAATTATCGAAATAATCTTAAAATAATCGAATTTATCTATTCAATTATTAATATCCTCCGTAAATATGATTCGCGCGCTACGCTTTGCGAAGTCATTTGTGATTGAAGCAAAACACGAGAGTGAATATTCGTCGCAATTGTTCATTATCATTTGTGTTCAACGCAGGAAGTACTGGATGGATTGGTTGTTATGTGCGGGTTTGATGAACACGCGCAACGACACTTGGGAGAAAATAAAGCAAAATATCGCATACAAAGACGATATGGAAAATATAAAATATCTGGCTTGTAATGAAAACGATGACATGATCGTAGAGCTTTTAAAGTCGATTATCTTCAAGCCTGACAATAAATGGCCACAACTGTCATATATACAGCTGAAAAAATTATACGACGCCATTATAAAGAAGCATGCAAACAAGAATAAAGTGCTTAATTTTCTTTTGGAAAACTTCGATTCTATATTTCCAAGGTAAAAATTTGCGTGTTTTCTTATCTTCAAAACATGCAACGTTCATCATTGTTTGTCTACTTACGATGATCCTGTTGCTTCGATGTTGCAGTTATATGACTAAAACCGAGAAAATAAATAATATTATAGTGATACAAAATTCAAAGTGCTACATTAAGAAGGTAAATTTCACGATATCAAAGTATATTTTGTCATTTTTTTCAATTACTTCCGTATATCCCGCGTACAGCTCATCTTGAATTTATTAAAAAGATTGAGTAACAATAATATTGTTTAACAGCGAATTTATTATTGTTGTTTATTGTTGGCACATGGTAATAATTTGTTTTAGATATCGAATTACGTAAAAAATAATCTCAGGGACGAGGAACGAACTATAGTTACAAGTATTTTAATAAAGCAATTGGTTCGGATAGAGAAACAAAGAAACACATTCATGCACATTTTTACGCAAAATGTAAATACAGAGAGATGTTAAGCGGACCTAATAATTGTATGCGTGTTCTTATTTATACCAATAAATTTTATTGTTGATTTTGAAATTTATGGCACTCAATTTATTATTCCTTAAATAAGCTAAATATATTGCTTTCGTTTTCGCTTAACTTATGGTTATTTTCGAGCAAAGTGACAAACGACAATTCTGTCGATAACCAACAATACTTATGTAAACGTCACGTATATTACTCAAAGGTGAGCTTGTCGCAGTCATAGAGAAAATTATCTAGAGATACAAAAAATTAATTAAAATGGATAAATGATTGGCAAACAATGCGATATCACACATATTTTATACTTAATCAATACAAATGACAGAAGGACAGAATTTCTACGTGAACAACTTGTGAAGTTTAGCAAAATTAACTCTGCGTGCCGCGTCCATCCAGATTTAGTCCAATCGTACTTCTCATAAAAGTGACTGCGATAAACAAAAATGATTAGCGACAAGAGACAAACGAATGTATAACTTTCACTCCCTTCTAAATTTGCTAACAAATATTGTGAGTGCTAGAGTGCTGCTGATATAAATGCTGTATATCACAAACAATTTTCTAGCAAGTACAAAAAACTACGATAAATTCCAACTATGATATTCAGAATTTCACTTGGACCAGCAAAATACTTTTTTCAGTATAAAGCAAGACAAATAATTTTGCATTTAAGACAGAACGTTTGTCAGTTAAAATAGCGTAACCACATTCATCCATTCTCTATCGATACATATTGCTTCTTACGTGAGATATTTGTAGCCTTTCAAATTGCTTGTCGATCATTTCTAAGGATACGGGATCTCGAAGTTGTTGTTGATTTGAAACGGTAAGTAGAAGCAATCAGGAATACATATTGAACGTTGACTCATAATCTTCTTAGATTGTTTATTTCCATTTGTTAGTCTTCAGTCGCCGATCTTATCATATTTTAAGTTATATCCTTATTTTTATGAATTATTTAATTAATCAGTTTTGATTGTTTGTTTATTCTGGTTGAGAAAGTTCAGAGTAAATTCTAACCTACAATGCGCAGACGACAATCGACAACACTAGACTCACATAATTAACCTCTACATTCCGCCATACATATAAACACGAGCATGCACGTGAATTCGCAGGAGCGATATAACGGGCGATCTTTTTTGCGGCAATTTTTTTGTTCGCTCTCGATACACTCGCCTTCCTTCCTTTCCTTTCTTCCACAATTTCGTTTGTATCCTGAGGGACATTTGAGAAAAGAGACATTTGAGATAAATAATTTTATGACGAATATATGTCATCATGTTTGCTGGGATTCATCACGACCAATTGGTTATTCGGCAAAGCGGTCACAACTTTAGCAGACTAGATGTCGATACTCGTCCATGTGTGTATCGATATACGATGCCTCTAGGTATTTATAAGACTCAGTTCGCTCACACACGGGTCACTCTATGTTTGTAATGATACTGAGTCCTCTGATGTCGTTGCTAATCTGAGATGGTAAGAAAAAGCTCGCACAAATATATTGTAACGTCACCGATTAACAGAATTTCAAATCAATTAAATTTTCAATCGTGTATGTGTATATAAATTTTATCTCTTCTTTGCGCAAAAAATCCGTTCTTACAGTTGACGACAACGAGAATTGGTGTAGTGCTCCTTACTATATTGTTCAATGGTCTGACATGCACAGATTCAATTCAGCCTAATCCGTGCATGCCTTCGTTAACTCACGAAGACGATATATTCGATGATATTTTACCAAACACTATATTACCAAGAAACTACAACATAACTCTGAAACCGAACGATGACATATTTTATGGGACAGTTAGTATACATATTGAAGTAATTGAACCGACCTCAGTCATATCTTTTCACTTGCAAAATCTAAAAATAGATTATGAAAGTATCACACTTGAAAGAATCGATGATCAGCATATATATAAAATAAATGGACAGCACAGATGTGTGAAAACACATATTACATCTCTGTCTTTTGATACTGAGTTGCCTCATGGATCTTATATATTATATATGCAATATACAGGCAATATGGAGGAAAATCTGGGCTTTGTCAAAATCAAACACATTAAATGGGAAAATACGATGTAAGTAACTAAAGAAATACAAAAATAGAATCGTTTACTTTGTATGCGATACTTTTCTTTTCTGTATTGATTAAGTCATACATATCGGAAGATCCGCATGTAATCTATGATTTCCAACTTCGTCTCCGGCAAGTCCTCCCTCCTAATAATTTTCTGATTACTGCTCGTGAATAATTTTATATTTCATGTGACGTGAAAGTATCAACCGTGTGTTAATGTATCGGTTACGATCATGACCGCTATTTAGATAAAGTAAACAAATTTCAACGTATAGAAAGTGCGAACTGAGTTTCACAATGCTAGACTGTTATTCCCTAAATTTCATCGCGCAGAATCTCATTTGTTGAGATATTTTGTCTGAGAAGAGATAATGTTGCTAACGTTGTCCAAAGTTTTCCGATATTTGACGTATCATGAACACATTGTTCTGTTAGATAATTATATGCCTCACAACGGTTCTATTATTATTAAAGTTTTGCTCTTGAAATACAATTAGATCGTACATAACGGTGCTTGAACCGAACGGAGCTCGACGCGTGTTTCCATGTTGGGACGAACCAAAGTTCAAGACAACCTTCGACATCTCTGTCGAACATTGGCCTGGATATTATGTCTTCTCTAATATCAAGGAACATACGTCTGTGAAACTTGAAGACCGAATACGGACGAGTTTTAAAATTACATACTTAATGCCTACTTATCTCGTCACAATCGGTATTCTTCATTCTATGTATGGAGACATGACAGACGACACCGTATGGTTTAGCAACCAAGTGCCCCTAGAATCTATCAAACGTCTACAAGAAATCGTTAAATGGACTGATAAATATTTAATGAACTATATGGATAACTTCTGGAGCAATTTATTAACAACCAATGCCATCGCATTTCCGGAGCTACCTAATAAAATTATAGGAAGTTGGCAATGTGCAGTTTTCAGGTAAGGCGCACAATTACGCGACGCCTCGAAAAAGAATTCTCTGAGTACTTCGGAATACGATAATACACGCACGTTTTGGTTATACGAGAATGCAGTGTCGTTTATAATCGAAATCAGTTTATATGTACGTAGAATTGTACTTACTTATAGTATAGTCAGTTATTCCGAATTATTTCAATACCAATCAATCAATCAAAAGGCACGGATGAAATCTGGACATAACCATTTTAATTACGAACACGATTTTCAGAGACAGTGACATCACACAGAAGCCAACACCAGATTATTTCAGTGGTTCAAGAAATATATGGGGAACAGTAACATACGGATTAATACGAAATTACATCGAAAATGTTGTCACTCCATCTAAGTGGTCTCATTTATGGTTTAGCAAGGCATTTGAATACAAAATCAGTTACAATATCCTTAAAGAGGTAGTTCATTTTCTTGCGTATCCATTTCCTTTCTAACAACAGCGAGATACGTATCGCTACGTTTTAACATTTTCTTTCTATGTATATATAATCTTAACATTTGCAAATTTTAATTTTAGCATTATAACACGGAATGGATCACGCAACTTTATGTAGTGCAAGTTTTACTGCCTGCTATGCATAACGATATTGCTTTCAATGTGCCACCTATCAAACATAAATATGATCGCATTTACTCTTCTTTAATTTACAAAAAAGGTGAGGACGTGTAAATGTTGTACAGTCGGAACGCGTGCTCATTGTTTGAAATCAAGATATTGGAAAAGTTATATTAAATAAATATAATTCAACAATCGTTCGCCGTTTACCAAATGCAAATAACAAAGATACGCTTTATATACTTGTTTTAAAAAAATATGTTATAAAAAAATATTTATATATTAATATAATTTGTAGAATTTAATGATATTGATTCAATAGAGAAAGACAATATCCTTGAAAATGTTTAGACTAACTTTCATTTATTATGTCGGCAATAACTACGAAATAACTATCCCATATAGCACAGAGAATTCAAAAAGATTTCAGTCGTATGTCACCAATTCTGAGTTCATTTTTATACAGAAAAAGAATTTCTTTCACTGAATTTTGGAGAATTCTTTTTGCATCTGGAAATGAACTCAAAATTGGTGACATACGGCTAAATTCTTTTAATTCTTTTAATTCTCTGTGCTATTTGGGATGCGAAAATCTCCTTCCTTTACATTCATTTTTTCTGTTACACTTTTCATGATCTGCAATATATCGCAGCATTCGCTATATTGAACATGTTGGAACAAATCGTTAAAGAGGATGTGTTCCTGAAAGCCTCTATCGAGTACATTAAGATGCAGTAAGTAACGTATTATAACACGATATAATAATATAAAAAACGATATAGATTTGGAATATTTAATAGTTATATTGCAGTTATACAATAATTAATCCCTTGTCCATAAACTTGCTTTAATTTTTAAGCCGTAAGAAATTGACCAACCACATTTGATTATTTTCAAAATAATCGACTGTGATTGGTTAATTTATTGTTGCTTAAAGATTAAAGCAAGGTTGACAAGGGGATAATGCACTATTCTGTAATCGCAATTCTATAACGATATTCTAAAACTCGTTATATTATAAATTTTCTTAATTTTTTAAACATGAATATTTTTTAAAAAGTAGATTAAATGACTAAATTGACGAAATATAATTCAATTTTAAGTTATCAAGCTTTGATTAATAAAAAATTTTCTTAATCACACAGCTTCGCCACACCAAACGATTTCTTCGAGGCTGTGAATATAATAATGTTTCGATCAACGGGCAAATTTCTAGATAACACAACGAACCTAATGACCAGCTGGTTGTCATACAAAGAGTACCCTACATTGCTGGTTAAACGATATTATAATAATAGAACGATAAACCTTTCGTATGATGACACTGGAAACAACTCAATTAAACATAAAGACTGGGTAATTCCTATAACTTACATTGCGCAGAGACATAATTATAATCATGAGAAACCTATGTTGTGGTCAGGTAATATTTCATCGCCGTACAATAACTCTATAACATTTCCTGTGATCGATAACAATGACTGGATCATATTGAACGAGAAAGAATACGGTGAGTGCAAAAACCGGTCGTCCGATTTTATTACCTGAACGCGAGCGGACTGTTAGATAATTAACCAAATATTCTATCATGTTATTTAATAATCAGTGGAACTATATTTTATTTCCGCGACAGGCTACTATCGCGTGAATTATGATCATGACAATTGGCTGAAAATCGCGAATTACCTAAATAACAACGATTACTGGAAGATATATACTGTGACTCGTGCTCGGATCATCGATGATGCGTATCACTTTGTTATTGAGGAAAGAATTAATACGATAATTTACTACAGTTTGATTAAATATTTAAAAAGAGAGACTCATTATATAGTGTGGCATGCAGTGATGAATACCCTGACTTACATGTCGCCTTTCTTCAAATTCCGTGAAAGTAATAATTTCACGGTGCGTAGTTACAGAGATTTATTATTCATTTAATCTACACGGAAAAAAAGATTTGCTCATATATGGACAACTCAAATTATTAACTGCAGGAGCATATTTCTTGCTTTCATAGCAAAGTTATCTAGTTATGGTAGCTAAAAGATTTGCTAATATATTAGCAAATAATTTTGCTATGAAAGCAAAAAATTTTGCTCCTGCAGTTATTAATTTGAGTTGTCCATATATTAGCAAATCTTTTTTTCATATTATTATTATTACTACGAATTAATGATACTTTTAGGAATTGATGTCGTCTTCCATAAATAGTGCTCTGATGACTATCGAGGAGAACGAAGATGATAAAAAGTTGCACCAAACTTTGCGATTATTACTTCTCAATTGGGCCTGCAAACACGGCGATCAGAAGTGCAGAAAGAGAGCCAACATTGAATTAACGGCACAACTTGACAGTACAAAGAAATATGAGTAATTATCGGAATAATCGATAAATAATCGAATTTCTCTATTCAATTATTAATATCCTCCTTAAATATGATGCGAAATTATTTGTGATTGAGGCAAAACACGAGGGTGAATTCGTCGCAATTGCTCATTATCATTTTGTATTCAACACAGGAAGGGCTGGATGGATTGGTTGTTATGCGCAGGTCTGATGAACACACGCAACGACACTTGGGAGAAAATAAAGCAGCACATCGCGCACGGAAATGATGTAGAAAATATAGAATATCTGGCTTGTAATGAAAACGATGACATGATCGTAGAGCTTTTGAAGTCGATTATTTTCGACCCTGGCAATAATTGGTCACAAGTGACAAGTATACAGCTGAAAATATTATACAACGCCATTGTAAAGAAGCATGCAAGCAAGGAAAAAGTGCTTAATTTTCTTTTGGAAAACTTCGATTCTATATTTCCCAGGTAAAAATTTGTGCGTTTTCTTATCCCCAAAATATACAACGTTCCTCATCGTTTGTCTACTTACGATGATTCTGTTGCTTCGATGTTGCAGTTATATGACTAATACCGAGAAAATAAGTAATATTATACTGTCCCAATATTCCAAGTGCCACATGCAGAAGGTAAATTTCACGATATCAAAGTATATTTTGTCATTTTTTTCAATTACTTCCATATATCCCGCGTACAACTCATCTTGAATTTATTAAATCAGAGATTGAGCAGTAATATTGTTCGATAGCAAGCTGAGTTATCACTGTTGTTTATTGTTGGCATATAGTAATAATTTGTTTTAGATATCGAATTACATGATAAATAATTTTAAATGGAACGAAGATCGAGATAAAATTAATTATATTTTAAGAAGGCATATGGATTGGATAAATAAACAAAGGTATATATTCGTGCGCCATTTTACGCAAAATGCAGTTATAGAGAAATGTTGGTTCAACCGGATCTAACGATTGTATGTGTATTCTGATTCGTACAAATAAATTTTATTGTTGACTTTGAAAATTCGTGACGCACTTAATTTTTCTATTATTATTCTTTAGTTAAGCTAACTATATTGCTTTTATTTTCGCTTAACTTATGATTATTTTCGAGCAAACTGACGAATGACAATTCTACCAACAATACTTATGATAACGATCAATACTCAAAGGTGGTCTTGTCACAGTCATAGAGAAAATTATCTAGAGATACGAGAAATTAATTAAAATGGAGAAATGACTGGCAGACAATGCGATATCGCACATATTTTATATTTAATCAATATAGATGACAGAAGGACTGAATTTCTATATGAACGACTTGTGAAGAGTTTAGCAAAAGTAGCTCTGTGTGGCGCGTCCATCCAGATTAAATCCAATCGCACATTTTATAAAAGTAACTACGACAGACAAAAAACTAGTGGCAAAAGACAAACAAATGTAAAATCCTCATCTCCTAAATTTGCTAGCAAATATTGCTACAACGTTACTGATGTTTAAATCCTGTATATCACAGACAATTTTCTAACAAGTACAAAAAGCTGCGTTAAATCCCAATTATGATATTCAGAATTCTACTTGGACCAGAAAAATATTTTTTTCAATGTAAGGCAAAACAAATAATTTTGTATCTGAGGCAGAACGTTTGTCAACTCAAATAGCGTAACTACATTTATCCATTCTATATCGATACACGATGCTTCTTACGCGAGGTATTTATAGACTTTCAAATTGCTTGTCGGTCACTTCTAAGGACACGGTATCTCGAAGCTGTTGCTGATTTGAAACGGCAAGTAGAAGTAGTCACGAATACATATTGAAATTATAATTTGATTTTATCGATGGATCAATCGTTAATTAAAGAGACAATTGCATTTGTGTGCGCAAATATGTATTTCGCTTCTTGTTCGTCCGACAAAGATGATTGTTCTTGCAGATGATTGAAACGAGAGTTGACGTGATGTTTTTTAAACTATTGCTCAATACGTGCCTAATATTCACGACGGTAATCGCGAAGAGGATACTACATACTACGATTGATACTAATGTGGATACGGGAAATTGCTCGCAGGTCAGTGATTCTTTACCGATTTATGCGAATCCCGTGCATTACAACATCGAGCTGGCACTGCACGACGACACTTTCGTCGGGGAGTCAAGCGTTACCATTGACATACAAAAAGAAGTCACGAAAATAGGTTTGCACGCTGAAAAATTGCAAATAGAATTTGATACAATATTGCTCTTTAAGCATAAGCAAAAGAAGCAGGAAAGGCAAAATAGGGGCAGGAAACTTCGAACATTTGTCTATTGCATGAAAACGCAGATTTTGATTCTCGAATTCGACAGGAGTATCCATATTGGCATATACGAGTTACATATGAAATTCAACGGCTCTCTACTTGGCCCAAAAGGCCTCGTCGCGATCAATCGCACAATCGATAGAGGAGAGACAAGGTGAGCCGTTTATCTGTTAATCCGCGTTGTTTATTGTCCGCGATGTATACCGGTGGTTCCGTACAGAATACGCATCCTCTAACTTTTTCGATATAACATCGTTCGGACAAATAGTAATTGTGCGATCTATCTCATTATCCCGCGCGTTTTTAATTAAATACATAAATAGACTAAAAGGAAAAAATATCTAACAAATATAAAATCGATTATAAAATCGAATATATTTAATCGATGTGAGTGTTAGCGATATATTTACTTGTATATATATTATTTCCGTGAGAAAAAATTTGCTCAAATGACAAAACGTATATTTTTCTAAAATTGTAGATTTTCAGAAAAAAATATTTATCTGTTCTATCTAAATCTGCAAAATAATTTAGACTTAAGTAAACATGTTATTAATAACCATCGAATAAATATATTTTTATATTTTAGATATTTTTTTCTTTCAGAATTATACTTGTGTGTATAATTTCACATTTCGCGCAACAAGAAGAAACAGATTTGGTGGGAAACACGTTGATCGAGATTGACTTTCCTTGTTTTTCTTTCTTTCTTTTGTATTGTAAAACAAATGACTTTCCTTGTTTTTCTTTCTTTCTTTTGTATTGTAAAACAATTGACTTTCCTTGTTTTTCTTTCTTTTTTTTGTATTGTAAAACAAATTCCGCAAATACTGTAACATATCAAGTGAAAAGTTTCGCCACATATGACAACATATGCCAGTTTGGTATCTTCGCTATCAAAAGATAACAAATTGGGAAAGTTATATTGCCAAAGTTCGCATAAACTTTGCATAATTACAGAAACGACGTTCAATTCACTAATAATAATATCTCACGCCACGGCAAAAAATCGTGATTAATTAAAATCGTGTCTTCGAAATGTGCCAGGCAATCGTATGTGACGCTATTCGAGCCAACCGGTGCTCGACGTGTATTTCCATGCTGGGACGATCGGTCACGGGGATCGACATATAATATCTCGATTGCACATTCAAATACTCTCCGAGCTTGGTCAAATATGCCGGTAATGAAGAAATCGTATGTGACGTATAATAGAATACAGACGCACTTTGAAATTTCCCCTTACATGCCTGTCTGCTACCTGACGATACTAGTTAGTGATGTCGAAATCGCCTACACGCACTGGAAATATCCGATACAAAGTAACATTAATATGTGGTGTGTACCTAATACGAGGAATCAACTGAAAATGACGGAGGAAATTGCTCCAATAATTGATTATTTTATAGTTAAAAACATGAGTTTTATTTGGAAAGGATCAGTCATTAACTTCATTGTGTTGCCGAATCTGCCAACTAATTTTTTAGGAAATTGGGGAGTCGCTATTGTGAGGTAAAGCTTAAAATTTCCCGAAATCCTCCGCGTAAAATAGAGTGACGACCGAGTCACTCGACTCGAAGTCGTGTAAATTTTAGCTTTCAAAGAAACAAGTTCACCTTATACAGAAAAGTTTATTCATGTGATTTAATAATTCACTCCAAGCTACTATTAAATATTCTCTGTTGTAATTTTGAGTGACAGTATTTTTACGTTATCGTTTTGAGTAAATTTTTATTCGATTTCTGTGAAGTCTCACCGTCCTCGATTAGGGGAAATGAATGATGCCTTTCGATACAATTGTCTGATTTTGCAAACCTTATTTCCAGACAGGAATATATCATCGATAAAGGAATCTCTGCTGGTCATCAAATCGAAGTGCAAAAGAGAATAGCACACGCTATCATACGGCATTATATCGAAACTTTCAACACCTATATTACGTGGTTTAGTGAATGGTTCAGAAAAGGACTAACGTTGTATCTCAGTTACGATATAATCGCAGAGGTTGTTCTTTCTTAAATCTTTAGCAGTAGTGACGCGATTTTCTTTATACTATTAGAGACGTTCGCAGCAGAATTTTTTAAACTCAACAAATCGTTTTCCATTTTCCAAGATAAAGAACGTTGACAATGGTTTCATTTCTCTAAAATTTGCACAGAATTCATAGTGTCGAATTGTTCTCCAAGATATAGCTCTAAGTTCAAACTTTGCAGCGATATCTGGATTATTCAACGAAATTCACTAAGTTTGCAGTTTTTCTTAATATTTTTTACAATTGTGAATTTTAGAGTCAACTATACGCCAAGATGGGGGATCTTTTTGTAGTGCAAGTCGTACAACCAGCTTTGCACAACGATATTGTTTTCAATGTTCCGCACATCACGAATGAATATGATCCAATTTACTTTTCCTTTATTATCAACAAAGGTAAGGACATGTAATACAGTGAGAGAGTAAATATTACCTAAATATTACAATATTATTGCAAGTATGCCCGTAGATTAAAATCGAAAGAATCGCGAATAAAATCACATCGTGAACATATAATTAAACGATCGTGTACTTAAGATAAAAAGTACGGTATCCTGACGGCTAAGTGAAATATTTGCAATTTAATAATCTATAAAAATTTACTTAAATGAATATTTAATGAAACGAATAACATCCAGAAAATTAAGATAAGGGATCCTCTATTAAATCAGTAGCATTCACGAAACTAATGCATGCGCGCGCGCGATTTCGTAGTTTCATTTTTTTATTTATTTTTTTAATTATAGCATCCATTATAATACGCATGATGAAACATATACTTACAAAGGAAGTGTTCAATCAAGCTATGGCCAACTATTTCAATTTAAAGTAAGTAATTATAATAATCTACGATAATTATACTTGCTTATTATACTTGATAATTATACTTATTTATTATACTTGCAAATTTAGTATTGTGTGACGAATAGAAAATAATAATATGCTCGGTTATTCCAATTTTTCGTCAAATTATAAATTATAAATGCAATTTAAATATATTTTATTATGTGAATTTCGACGATATTCAAAGTAATGAATAATTTATTAATTACGGGCTTCTGGTTATCGTTGAATTCGATACAACTGATGTTTTTACGTTCACGTACACAGTGATTTGAACTCTCCCCATGACTTGTGGAATCTTTTAAAAATTGAACTTTTCACGAACGAAGATCCGAATCGCGCAGAAGAACTAATATTCAGCTGGCTGTCACAACCAAATTATCCTATATTATATCTTGTTGAATATAAAGATGGCCACGGCAAGTATATTAAACAAAATGCTTCAATGAAAACCGTCAATGTACTTAAGTTATGGGTAATTCCTGTAACATATACCACACAGACAGAGCTTAACTTCTTGGACACTTCGCCTAAACTGTGGTATACAGGAGGTAATCATGAACTTCCTCAACTTGATCCATATGATTGGATCATATTTAACATACAACAAACTGGTAAGTGTGGCGACTCCACGGTGTAAAAACTGTTTGCTCAGTTTCACCAGGAAACAGTTATTGGGTTATTAGATTAAGCTAAAGATACTAATGAATGTATCTAATCTTACCGTGAATGTATCTAATCTTAGGTGTTTTTATTGTTTTCGTGTTTAAATTTAAACATTTAAACTTTCAACATAAAATATATATATATATATATATATATATATATATATATATATTTAATACATATATTCTATATTAAAAGTTTAAATATTCATATTTAAAAACTAAAACAATAAAAAAAGTTCAGATACGTGATTGGGAATTGGTACTTTTACCTAAATAATCGGCCTTTTTTTCGTTTCCTTGACAGGCTTTTATCGCGTTCATTACGATAACGATAATTGGTTTAAACTCGCGCGTTACCTGAACGAAGAGGATCACACGATGATACATTATTTGAATCGCGCACAGCTCATCGATGATGCGTATTATTTCATGATGAAGCTAGAAATGAACTACAACATATTCTATTACCTCATCAATTACTTGTGGAAAGAGCAAGAGTATACACCATGGCACACTATAACAAATATCTTACATTATATGTCACCTTTTTTCAACTTCCCAGAAAGTCTAGCATTTAAGGTGTGTAGCGATGGAGTAAAAATTGTTGGGCATTACGACGCAGTTAAAAAAAGAAAGTTGCAACACTTTTATTTTGGAGATTTTTATAGTCCATCTGGTATCTAATAGGAAAAATTTTTCTTCAATAATTTTTGAAAAATAAGTTTTTCTCTTGGATATTGGACATCCTGTATTTCATCGACGTGAAAATATTACGACCTTTCTGACTGTATTGACTTACAGGCAGTTGTCAGGCACAAAATGCACGTGATGTATGGAACGTGCGGGAAACTAATATAATATTTAACGATGTTTTCCAGAATCACATTTTAAACATCTTGGTTAAACATCTGAATCAGCAATTTAATAATAAAAGAGTAATAGCCACGCAATTATTAATACAGTATTGGGCTTGTAAATTCGGCAATCGCAGGAGCAGAGAGTCTATAAAAAACAATTTGATACATCATATCATGCATCTCAATGACAATACGTAATTATTTCGACAAACTGTATTCCTCTTCCAAACTGTCAATTCGTGTTTTGAACAATATTTCTCACGCATCATAAATTGTTATTCAAGACGACACTTGAAACGGAAACTGTTTCATGTAATTTTATTTTTTATTTTTCTATGTTCAACGTAGAATTAGACCGGGTTGGGAGGATTTGACATATTGCGCGGGTCTGATGACTGCGGACAGTTCCGTTTGGAATATAGTGGCGACGGATTTCATTGCTAGAAATCAAACGAGCAAGTTAAAACATCTAACATGTACCGATAATAATGTAGTCATCAACGAATTTATGAAGTCAATCACATCCAAAATAAGCGATAAATGGGCAAAATTGGAACCTAAGCATTTACTGACATTATATCATAGCATGATGAAGAAGCATGCCAGAAAGAAAGAAGTGTTCGACTTCTTTTTAGCGAATTTTCACAAAATTCTTCCCAAGTAAAGCCATTTCCTTCTCACTATGTACAATGTCCGCAATCGCGCGGGTCTTTTCACATTTATTTATAACGAATCTGTTGGTTTAATGTTACAGTTACTTGAGTATAATCGAGAAATTTGGTAGTATTATTATGAACGTGTATTCCACCTGCCAATTTTTCAAGGTAAACTTCATTATCTCGCCCCTCGCCTTTTTAACTAATCTCACACTGAGGAAAATATACATGAAAACTTTTTTGTAGAGTACAAAGTTTATTCATAGAAATAAACTTTATTTTATAGAAGTAAATTTTCAAGAAATTTTTCCTCGGTATAATAGACTTAATATAATTATACTTACACATTTCCATTATATACAATTATGCGATACTCATATTTTTTAACATTATACATATATTTATTTCTGCAAGGTAAAGTTTGCACAACGAGAGAATGTCGCTTGACGCATCGTTTCTGCGTGTCTGAATAAATAATAAATAATAGATCAGTAATGCACACGGTCTGAGCACACGACTTCATTATTTTCATTTCTTTCAATATATACGGTGTATATTGTCTTCTTTTGATTATGTAAAATATTACAAACATTGTATGACGTTAATTCGGAGCGTTGTTACTTATTGTCAATTACAACAATTTGTTATAGATATGGACTGTTGTAAATTGGAACTACAACGCGAACTTCATCATCATAGATGCGGTGGAACTTATGATATCATGGCGAAAGAAAGAATTACAGAGACAGATGAACATGTTTAGAGATCCTTTTAACATCACTCATTATGAAGATATATGTTAATCAATCGAGAACAAAACGATTATCCATGTATCCTAAATCGTATGAATAAATTTTTATATCAGCTCTGAAATTTGCGACTATTCCTTTTCCCTCCTTTCATGAGATTATTCGGCCATTAATAATTTTGACTTATCGTTCTTTTGTGCCTCGAACACGCATCGTTCTACTTGAAAAGTTTTTGTGTAAATTTTAATCGGATTGAATCTAGAATTCCGCATTGCGACATTGTATTCAGTAATAGATCCGCAAAGCGTCACGATATTCGAATCTGTTACCGACTCTGCGCGATTTCTGTAATATTAACGTACGATATGACAGTGCGCTGTCGAATTACATTCCGTGTCGCCTGCCTTTGTCGATCATTGCATGATAAACAGATTTATACGATATCTGTATGAAATAGTTAACGTCTTTCGCGCGATACCATGTTCCACGAAACTGATAATTTAATTATAAGCGCAGCTTGCCATAGTTTGTAGTTTATTTATTATTTATTTATTATTTAGTTTGTTTCTATTCAACGTTGAGGAATTTTTAGCGTATATTAACTATTTCGTTGTTCGTTCAAGCGTCCTCGCGAAATGATCGAAAATAACTCATAAAATTGCGGTAGCATATCTAAAACGTGACGATCGCCGTGCGCGAGCTGGACGGAAATTACCAACAGCGGGTACAAGAGTAACTTTTGTCGTGGCGGTACTACCTCATTTAAAAAATAGAACGCCTTTTGGATGTCATTAAGGTCTTTACGCGCTTGCAAATTGCAGATAGTCGACGAATCGATATTGCTTGTCAATTGTGAGAGTAATACAGTTTGAAAATTGTATATATTGTTTGTATTGTAGGGATATAACTACTGCACAGAAACGAAGATTTTGGTAATCGAATTCGACAACTAGATCGCATCTGGTTAATATATTTTCAGCATGAACTTGTACAAAACTCTGCACAACGGTGCTGAAACTGTCGCGAACAATTACACTGAAAGAAAAGAACATAGAACACTGGTTGGAACGTGGAGAAACAGGTCGTTTACTTTGCAAACAGCACCATTTGCCGCTGTTTACCGGCCGCAAACGACCGACAAAATTCCGTGCAAAGTACATAACCTCTAAAGCGCAATATAATAGCAAACGAATAGTCACGAACAGCGATTATGCTCACTCTTTTATTTCCAATAAAGAGACAAGTGAATAAGCAAAATAGCAAAATCAATAAATTTGTAAGAAAACACAGAACAAATAATGAATTAGTAAAGGAGGAAAGAAATACAGGGATAAAAATAGAAATAAATTCTAATAAATTTCTATTCATATAAATTTGAACTCATAGAAAAATTTGTTAGAAATAAAAATTTATTTGTATTTACTTCTTTATCCTTTCTTAATTCCACTTTTCTCCTTTATTTATTTTTACTTAATTTTATATTTATTTACTCATTTGCTTATCTATTTATTGTTCTTTGTTTTGTTATTTATTTTAGAGATACTTTTAGTCTTAAAGAGACGTTGTCAATGTCGTCCGTTGTGTGCAAGGGCTTTATTTAAATGACATTTAATTAACCGAAAATTGTATGATATCGTGTCACGACAGAAGATCTATTATCAAAGTAACGTCTTTGAAATGCGACAGACAAGCGTATACAATGATATTTCAACCGAGACTCGACGTGTGTTTCCGTGCTGGGACTAGCCGCCGTGCATTCGATACAAGAAATAGCATTGTCGAATATGTCTGTTCGAGAAATGTCGAGGTATACGTATACAAAATGCAGACGCACTTTATAACTATACCCGATTTAGCATTTATTATTAAATTTCGATAGTAGTAACCGAATTTCGGTTCATCAAAATCAAAGTCTATTCAACGTCAAAATTCTGCAGATTGTATGGAGAGTAAACTGAAATATCTACATAGTCTCTCTCTTTCTCCCATAATTTTTTCTACATGGAAAAAACTCCGTTAGTTTAATTGAGTTTTCCGTTACTTGGGGACCAGATGAAAAGCTCGGTTGCAGGAACAGAAAGATTCCCATAGGAGGTTTCAGCCAATTGCTCTCAGTTATCTCAACCGGATTTTAATACAGCTGCATGTTCAGATGAATGTTTTCACTCACACTAACAGAGACATTATTTCTCGTCAATGAGTTCCTCGTCTGGTTCCTATTCAATTGCACAAACTGAGATTTTTTTCCGTGTAGGATTCTGCACATACCTATATGATTGAACTCCTTGGGAATCGATTAGATCCAAACTCAGAATGGATCAGCGGTAACGATAATTTTGCCTCCGCTCAACTGGAGGCGTCGCGTAAGTATACCCGGTCGGCCTCACGGCTCGTGCGTCCCTTCACGCGTGCTCTCGGCACGAGACACTTCCGTGTTTCTTGATATCAGCAGTGAACCGCTACGAGACGCGGGTATTAATTTAAGCAGAACCGACGACCCCCGCGAGGGCCGGCGAGGCTGCAATGAAAGAGAACCAGATTCCATTCGATGCTCACGACGGCACATTAGGAGGGCTAATTTAAAGAAAAGAGGGGCAGCATTTTGCCGATAGGACTGCGGGGGAGGGAAGGTATCGGTGGAGGCACAACAACACGAGAGAGAGAAAGACGACGAGAGAGAGAAGGAGAAACAGAGAGAACGGGAAAGACAGACGAAAGGGGAGGCAGTGCTCGGAGTGTCCCGGAGAAGACACGAGAGATCGCGGAACGAAGCGAGAGCGAAGTAATCAATACGCATTCACACGCGGTGCCTGGCATTCCGTTGCCATGGTGACTGACGCTCACGCATGCGTTTGGTCCAGCGGCACCGCTGTGCCGACGAAATCATCCCGAAATCCAAGTCAGTCTCGCGCCAACCACCCCCTGTGCGCGCGTGGCGCTCGCTAACGGGGGCTAATGTCGAGAGGGAGAGAGAGAGAGAGAGTGAGAGAGGGAGAGAGAGAGAGAGAGAGAGAGCTGATGATGCGTTTCGGATGTGTGTTCGGAAAACACACTTCCCTCGTTTAGATCGCTTTCTCGTTTCACTAGAATTAATTTCCCTACAGCTCGTCATGACTTGAAAAGGGTTGAATGAGTAAAATATATTATTCGTCCAATTAATCATTCTCTTTTCGTAACATGAGACGCTCATAACGACAAGAGGTCATCAATTGATGATCATCACGTTGAATCTCGACAATTTTCCCGAAGTAAAACCCATTATCGACAGACACCTCTGAGGGCCGGTACGGTTGGGAAAAGTGCGGCAGTAACGGTACTGATTTTCCGCACAAAGCCATTATGAGATAAAGAGACAGAGAGAAAGATCTGTCGTATTCACGCCACTTCGGGACCGATCGTTTCTAAAGCGTAGTCAAGCAAACCATACCGGATAGTTCTCCCCCGACGACGGTCATCCTGGTCTCTATAGTCGCCGTTGGAGGGTTCAGCGCGGCGCTCGTCAGACGAATATACATATTCAACCCCCCGGCCGTTCCTCTGTCTTTCTCTCCCTCTCTCTCTCTCTCTCTCTTTCTCCCTGTGAATGCCATAGGGATAGCGGGGGTGGGGTGGAGGATGCGAGGGGTTGCTCGCTGTCGGGGCGCCTGCGTCGAGTCCCCGATGACGACTCGGCTAGGTAGGTAGGTGCTCGACCCGGACGCAGTCGGGAGAAAACAAGCAGCAGGCAGCCTGCTATTCTCGCGTAGCGCGCGGCTTTTTTCCCGTACGAGAGTTGGCGTTCCAGACGCGAACGACAAAAAGGGACAAGTGGAAAGCCCGTTTGGACTGATCGCGCAGAGTACGGATGACACGAGAGTGCGGCTAGTCACAGGCGCGCGCGTGGCTCGGGGATCTGTAGAAGAGAAAGAGACAGACCGAGAGAGAGAAGCGAGACACGGAGACGACTAGAGGATAGGACCGATCACCGCAGGACGGACGGTTATGATGGAGATCGCAGGGCAGCGGATGCGACAACGTGAAAAAACTGACGTTCGATAATACGCCGCGCGACAAGTTCATTGAACCCTTTCGGGGACCTAGGGTCGCCGTCGCAGTTGATGCGCTCGGAGCTTTAACGGCCAGGTGGAGGCGGAGGGGGTGAAGAGCGAGAAGAGCAAAGGGTAGTCCGCGACGGGCGATCAACGAAGATACATTCCGCGTTGCACGCGCGCATCCAGAGCCAGCCAGCTGGACCTTGGAATTGTGATCGATCTCCGGGAGCGCCGAACAAATCACGGACGATTATCGCGAAAAGGAGAGAGAAAAATAGTGTGTGTCTATGTATGTGTATGTGTGTGTTTGTGATCAACGCATCCTCTCGTTTCTCTCGTCGGTATTCCAATTCCCTACGGGGTGTTCGAGCTTTTCCGCGGGAGATTCGCGCGTCATCCTCGCGTATGTAGCGTCGTTTGTCGCGCTGCGACCAGACGCGCCAGTGCCGAGGGTGAGGGTGATCGTCGTGGGAGAAGATGCGCGCTTGAAGAGAGAAAGAGAGAAAGCGAGAAAGCGAGAGAGAGAAAGAGAGAGAGCGAGAGCTAGGGAAGTCTTCGTAGTCATCGGAGGACGCGTTCTTCGCATCGGTGGCGGCCGCGCTTTTAATCGCCGGTTGCATGTGGGTCACGAGTTGCATTCGCCGCAGCTAATGAGATAGAGAAGATTTACCGAGCCAAGAGGTAAGCTTATTAACGGCGTCCCGCGCGCACAAAGACTGATGGCGATAATGGCTTAAAGAATGAGATGGATTATCGCGAGGGAGAGAGGAAAGGAGGAGAGAGAGCGAGGAGTTGCGGTCTAATTAATCCTGTCGGGTGTACATAAAAAACCGATCACCAATCCATTTCCACATTCAGTATTGTTTGTACGATTGCTCGGCTTCATGAGGCAATTCGCTTCGTCGCGTAAAGCTGACTGGAATGCTTCCAGTTTGATCTAAGTATCTCACTATCTCTCACTTGAAGTTTTCAGTTTGATTTCACCTATTAGCATTAAAAACGCGAGTTTATAATCGCGAGTTTATTTATTATAATCGCGAGTTCTTGCTGATGATGGATCGAATCGCAAAAGACGTTTTTCAGACTCGTTTCAAGGAAAGAAGATTTCTCAATATGGGCATATTTTTTTAATTTCCTGGTAATGCAAACGAGTGAAATCAAACATGTTGCAAAAGACAACCTTCGAAAAAATGTATTGGCCGAAGGAGATACACTGCGATTGATTTTGACCGAAGAAGCGATTTGCAGCTTGATACTCTCTTAAAATGAATTAGCAAAACTGTTGATTGAATCAATAAAAGAAACATTTCACCGATAATCGTTAAATATTCACTAACTTTCAATGAAAACACCCCACTTTCCATTTTGTTTCTCACTGATTTTGATCAGTGCAAATAAAATTATACTGGATAATTTGTAGTATACAAATTCGTTATACGTTTTGTCAAACCCAATTTTCGGCGTTTATGGCGATGCAATTTGCGTACAATGATAATGTCTGTGTCTGCAAGACTTCATTATTAACAGGAACGGTTGCTACTGTTAATTATCTCTTTCAGCAAGCTTTTACTAATTTCAGTGCTGCACTTATCACTGAATCAACAACTATGAAATGTAGCATTTCATGGAAGAATACACTGATTGCATTTTAGAGAGCAGTTTCGGCGGCGATTATTTCCTCCTTTGCTCCGAATCGGGTATATTTCCTCTGGCAAAGAAACCGATTACACGAGCCGGATAAAATTAAGCGACAGTAAAAATTAACTCCTGACGAAAGAGAGGGAAGGCGCGTCGCACAGCGGGTTGTGAATTCTCGTTCCCGACGAAGACGGTGAAGTCACGTGGATATAGCACGCGCGGCTGCAGTTTACGGTGTCCTTAACCTCGTAGAAAATCAATGTTCGTCATTTGCCGACAGCTGTACATTCCGTCGCGATGTCGCACACAGTCGAACCTACCTTCGCTTAAGTACGACGGCGATAACTGCAGGCGGACAACAAAGAAAACGGTAGAGAGAATTGCCGTTTCCGGCGCGGCGGGAAAGAGGCATGACGACTAATTGGAGGAATCTCACTTCCGACAAAAACGCACGTAATGACGATCGCGTGTTCGTTCGCGAGAGATTCTCTTTGCGCCACGTAGCGTTCGCGAAGTTAAATTTTTCATTTACATAGCCACTGGAAATTTGAATAAAGCTCTAACGCGCGGACGAACGTCCCTTAAGATATGCAGCAGATTAAAGGCCGTTCCTTCCGACACAAAGGGATCGGTAATGAGAACTACCGCAATGTTTGCACAAGAATCGCGTTTCTTTCATCCACGGTCCTTCGTGGGTTGCTTGTAACTCAAGGGGGCGTTCGTCCTATCGGATTGTTTAAAGGAGAGCGTTTATGTAAATAGTTCCTCTCGACAAAGTAAATTCAAAGCTACGGAAATATCGCCATGTAGCGGCTGAATTCTTACGGATAGAGGCAGAGAGGCGAGTTCACACAAAACTGTATTATTTAATTAAGGATTTCCTCACACTTTCTTTAGAACACTTTGCGTAGAATAAAAGAAATTTCTCCTTTTTTCTTAATAATTTCTCTTAATAAACGCTTTCATCTATCTTATTTATCTATCTTTGCCTTCATATTTATCCGCGCGACCTTTTCCTTTGGTAAAAATTTAATGTACTATTTTCAATCAGTACATATCCGTTTAGAAATTCCTCTCTTTCTCATCTCGCGAGTTCCACTCTTAACTACGTAACGAACGAAAGTGTTCTCAACTCTACCCTCTACTTTCATCTCCCTCGGCAAAGGAAAATCGACTCGTATTATCGACCGGCAGGCGACTTCGCGCCCTCGACATTCCAAGTGCAAAGTCATCTCGTCGACTAGATTTCGATCCCTTTACGATTCCCGTTCTTCTCTCATCCCACTCATCTCCCACTCGGCTCTTTAACTCGACTCTCATAAGGGATGGAGCGCGTTGCGCGTTTTCCACGCTCCTCCAGCGGCCTTTACGCGCGTGATTTTCTAATCTGAGCTGCTCTCTTCGCGGTCGCGACCCCTTGTTTACGCCGACTCGGGGATGAATATAATCAATTGCACCGGTGACAGCGCGGCATCCTCGTGACGAGGGACGCGTTCCTCCGCTGACAATTGCCGGGTTCCACCGGATATCACTGCACCCGCGAGTATCAAGACCGCACTTCATCTCACGCAAATTCCACGACGTTCTCGGCTAATGATATAATCAATCAGCCCAATGATTGCATCCCTTGCTCTAAATTTCAAACGATCGATACACACCGTTGAATAAAGAAGAAAATTTTCGCAGACGATAAAACCGACTGTTCTCTCGCTGACCTGCCGATTCGCTTTGCGATCATTTTCGTTCGATAACAAACATCCCATTTAAGATCTGCGAATTTCGCATTGGTGAAACTAAAAATTCCCGGGTCTGGACCTGCTGAATTTTTGCCGGAGCTACGATAAAAATATTTCAGAGCACAAGCACCGATTTGCATATCGTAAATCCCGCAGTCGATCTCGTGAAGTCGCTGAAAAATTGCCACGTCGTGCATTTAATCCCAGCTTTCAGGCCGAGTGCTCGTAACAACGACGAGGACGAGGGCCCACGCGTCCTGAAATCTGCGGACAGGACATTATCGCTCGGCATTCTCTCTCCCTCACATCCCTTCATCCTCCGAACCGATGGAATCCACCGATATAACCCATGGACACGCGTGTGCATGGCGGCCGTAAAATCCTTACCGGGAATTGCACTCTACGGATATATGTATATATATGCGACTCCGTCTCCACGCATTCTACGAGGGGTGTCTACGACGAGAAAACACGGCGCTTGCTCGCTGAACTGAATGAAACTCGAGAAAAACACTGACGCTTACACACCGATAGCAACGGAAAAGATCCCGTTTCGCTTCCATATGAACGCGATGAGAATTTTCCGCTCTTAGTCAATTTTTATTATTCCAAGTTTCTTTCGTAATTTCACGCGTACATACAGACGTACACACGTACACACTTACGAACACCTGCACATTCCTATGCACACCCAGGCATATCTATGCACACTCACGGCACCCAGACACGTTTATACAGGCTCAAGGATGTTCACTGGAAGAAAATTTTACTACACGGAATCACAAAAGCGGGATACACGGAGAAAGAAAGTAATATATGGACATTTACAAAATATTACTACGTTAGCTATTTTTCTTGTTGTAGGAGCAAATTCTTTTCGTACAACAGTAACATGTTCTAGCAACTTATGACGTCGATCTCACAACAAGAAAATTTGCTATTGCAGCGAAATATGTTGCTAACGCCGCAATATTTTTTGGATGTCTATATATTACAATTACTTTAGCTGTGGCAAACAACTTTTTTTCCGTGTGCTTAAGAGGATGCTGGAGTCGATGACGAACTCGAACAATGTCGATAATGTAGAGACGATCGTCACTAACATAATCACGCTATTCTTTTCGTATTTCTTATATATACAGAACTTACATGAATGTGTCGCTTTGTTTTACCATATTCAACGGAAAACCTAACCTAATTATATGCGTAGAAATCTTTCTGCAAACTTTTTCAATATTTTTAAGCTTCCAAATGCAAATGCAAAGATAGAGCAATGTTCTTAAAAATTTTTCTGTTTGGAGTATTCACACTTTCAGTATATACAAGCTGCGGAATTTTTGAATTAGACAAATATTACGCTAACAGTTTGAGATTTTACATAAAAAATTTTTTGTTCGTTTTTGTCACATATCGAGCAATACTCCTATTTATTTTTGCACGTACTTGCGTAAAGGCATTTGTAATTCTGTGTAACCAATACGACGTAAACTATGCAGAAAAATGTCAGTGTTCTGTCGATAAAGTTTTCAGCTTCAGCATCCCCTTAACGTGAATTCATAGCAACGCAATCACTTTTTGTTTTTCGTATGCAAATGAATAATAAAATGATTTTAGTACTTTTATGTAACAACGATAAAATATTCGTACCGCACGACGTCTCGTGCATTTCGGAAAACACATTACTTCGTGAGGCAATACGCGTATTTGCGATGCGTGTTCGTAACGTGTGAGAGTGCATTCGTTTACGAAACTCGATTTCACAGCCGCCGTAATTGAATCTCGAATACCACCCTAGCCGCGGATATGGCTGGAAACTCATAAGGGCAATGTCGAAGGCCGGTCGGGCCTTCTTCGGTTAATTGGATTTCACAAGGCGGCTTGTACGGCGAACCGTCATCGAATATTGTCGGATTTCACAACAAGTTTTCTCAAGAAAAATCGGATTACCGATTGAACTAGCCTCAACTAGAATGTTTTCATCCTGTGCTCTAACTGTTTTGCGACAGAGAAAAAGCTGAATAGTTTCTTCTAAGTCCGCTACGCGGATTCCCACGAGTCGAAATGTTGGCTCTACTTTTCTGAACTCTCCAAAATCTGTATATTTAGAGGGTCAGTATATGTTTAAACACATGAAACTGAAAACCTGCGTTATGACGTCTTTGTTATTTTTATTAATCGAGAAGTGTGATCCGTGTAACATTGCAAATGCTGACATTTTTTCTTTATACACTTTATAACTTGATGGCGTCAGTGATGTAGTCAAAATACTTAGCTCATCTGTAACGGAGCCTGACTGAAGATCCGCGGAAAATTGCTCTTTTTAAGAGATAAATCGCAGCGTCCGTTTCTGAACGCACCAAAAAATCCCGCTCGAGAAACGTGTTCTTTTTCGCAGCTTCCTCGGAGGGTGGACGCGGGTAAATCGAGTGAAGGAATCAGGGATACACGCGCGCGCTCATGGAAATAGATTATCTCGGGAACAGATGTGCGAGATGTTGTTACTAATGCACCAGCATTGGGGAATACAAGCCGGCCAATGATGGTCAGCTCTCCCGTGGCGCTTTCCCTTCGGCTTAGGGAGACGAACTCTGAAAATCGCGACGTTCACGCGCGTTATTTTGAAGCGCTGTCACGACGGTGTTTTTCGATGCGGACGCCCACGAGTCGAAATTTTGGCTCTACTCTTTTCTGAATTCTCCAAAATCTGTACATTGAGAGAGTCAAATGTTTAAGACACATGAAACTGAAATCCTGTCTTATGACATCTCTAAGTGACAGAAAATGTACAAAATGCTACCTGTTCTAAAATTCTAAAGTTCTAAAGTTAGTAGGTTAAATAGAATCAAAAGAGATCGACGTACGCTTCAGATTACCAAAATATGCGTCGAATAGAAAATTGAAATCAAAAGTACACTGAGAGAAAAATGTATGATATTTGGAACTATAATGGCATAGTAAAAAGATTATAGTTAGGAATATCATTTTTATAGTAAATGTCATATAATATTTGCAATATTTACAATATAAGCATAGTATAACTAACCCATGTAAAACTATTACCAAGAATTATAATTATTTGAAATAAAATATATAATAAAGTAGCAAATGTTGAATGGTAAGAGAAATTAACTATTTTATATAGTCAATACAATTGGAATATTTGGCAAATACAGATATGTGTAACTATATTTTCAAAGTGTGCTTTATTATACATATAGAGTAATAAAATGGTGACTATGAATCTGTGTTCATTCTGCTATATCTTCATATTTAGATGAACTATAAATGTATGTTTGAGGTCAAAATGAACTATAAAATATAGTGAGATTATAGTTATTCCAACTATTTTTTTTCTCTCAGTGTAAGATCCAAATTACGTCCCGGGTCTGTCTGAACGTATCGGCCGATGTCTCACGATTGCTAACGAGACGGCCTCCGGAAATCCCGAAGGCTTCCATTCAATTATCCGCGCTGGCTCGATAAATATTTAGTTTCACATTATGCACCCTTCGCGAACGAGAAAACACCAAGCTTCTTATATTAACTGCGCGCCAAATTGCACGCGCGAACGATGCTGCCGCGTGCTATTCCGTATCGGAAAATCGCCAAGCTCTTCTTTTCATCCCTCTTCTTTCTACATTCATTCCCCATCTCTATGTTTGCCGGGCTCATCTCGCCGCCAACTTTAATCGAATACATTAAAGTAAGAGAAAGGAGCTCGGGGAAACGAAGCGAGCTTTTATCTCATAGCGAATTTAACTGGGGCAAATTTTAATATGAGCTCACATACAAAAGTTCGTCGGACCACAATCTTTTGCAAGTTCTTAATAATTGATGCTTTGACAACACGAGTCGAGCAAGAACGTGCTAGATTTTTTAAACACTTTTTAGACATATTTGGATGCTGTTTTCGCTTCATTCTCTATGAATTTCTATTAAAGCATGTTGGAAGGGATGTAGCGTGTATGAAGTTATACGAGGCCGAGAGGGAGCGGTTAATATATTTGATCCGTATCTTCTGTGATTTCTTGCTCTCTCATCTCCTCTTTCTCTCTCTTTGCGAAAGCGGTAATTCTCCGACAGATTCACGTCGCAGGAGCGAGTGAGAGATGGTGCAAATGTTATTACACGGCCATCTGTATCCATCGGGATGCTATTTAATTTCTCGAGTTCCTAATTGGCGTGGATAAGAAGGGATTGCGAAAGTTACGATGATAAATCTCCCTCGCCGTCCAGAGATACAGATACGGGATTGCGTGTTCCAGCGATACTTTAATTGTGCCTCTCTTTCTTTCTGTCTTTTATCCTATCTTTCCTTCTTTTTCTCTCTTTCTTATTTCAGGAAGAAAATGTGGAGCTCGGTTACCGCGGCTGGTACGGAAAATGGGCCAGCACCACCTTCCAGAAGCAAACACAGTGCCACCTTACTCGCCGGTCACGTGTACCTACTCGGGGGTAGAAATGGAAACCTACCGCTCAAAGATCTCTGGCGATATTGCCTCGGTGAGTGAGAGAACCACGTATATTCTCATAACGTAATATTTTTTATGAGAATGCTAAACTTAATGACAAAGGAAGTGTGTGTGTATTATATAGTTCTTTTTGATAAAATTAAAAAATGAGAGGAATGAAGGCTTATTAAGAGAGAGAGAGAGAGAACCAACACACATGTGTAATAGTATTTACAGTAATTATTTTACAGTAATTAAAAAATACAAAAGTTTTTTTATGTAGTTAGTAGAGATATGCAAATCAAAGATTTTTTATATCAAATTAAATCTCAGATTTTAATTTCGAATTCAAATCGAATCAATGAAATTTCACCCGAATCGACTCGAATCGTTAAAAGAATTTTTAATTAACAATCATTGAATTCAACATGAAAATAGTGACTTCAGTATGAAAGAGATAATATTGATCATGTGATATTAACTCATTTTAAGGTAAGAAATATATAATATATATTTCAGTTCCAGTCTTGAAAACTGCGCAACGACACATCCGATCCGATAGTCGGTAAAAGTTTATCTAGAAGCCATTATCTTCTTTTAACATTTTTGAAGAAAATCTTAATATATAGCAAACTTTTCAAGTCATACTAATTCCTGTAAGGCTGGATGTCTTTAATAGTATTTCGTTAATGCTAATGTGCGCGATCCTATTCAAATCTTTTCGAAATTTTCGAATTTATCGGATTCGAATAATAGGGATTCGAATTTGAATCAAATCGAATTTCACTTGATTCGATTCGAATAGTCACATATCTCTATATATATATATATATATATATATATATATATATATATATATATATATATATA